TACGATAAGTTGATTACTTACCCTAATCGTAGCATAAGTAGACTTTTGACTTGAACTTGTGGGTATAAGTCATCTAACAATGGTTCTTTTATGAGAATAACTGCCATGTCGTTTTCCGTAACATCCATGGTGACGTCACGATAGTTCGCTCTAATTTCCATGACGTACTGCCACCTAAATCAGAATAACATTTGAAATAGGCTACGGTGGTTGATGTATTGCACACTAGGCGCCAAATCCGTAAATCAGTGCTGTAATAACTCTTAAACCAAATCAACTTTTCTGAAAGCTTTCACATAGGAAACCAGTGGACTTCAAGTTTTCCTGGTGATAAACTCACTTTTGATTAACAATGGTCCAGATGCTCACGGCTACTCCGAGATGAGCCATGGACTCAGCAATAATCCACAAACGACCATTTCGATAGATTTGCTTCATTAATCGTGGTGCCTTCAACGCTGCATAGATCTCTCGGTCATTCTTTGCTTGAAATGGGCAGCTCTGTGGTCGCGTATAAACAATCTGTAAACAAATCGACCGTTTTTACCCAAAAAGAATTATCCATGGACTTTTCAGTACCAAAGGCAAACGATTGCGGCATGATGTCCCAGTCTAGAGTGCAAAAATGCAAGTTATTGACTCTTATTATTCATACTTGAACAAACCTTTTTTGTCTCAATATCTATATTCAAGATTCTCCCTGTATATGCCAGCCTTCCGAATACATTCGGTACGCGCTCAAATGAGGAGATTATTTTTCCTTCCTGCCAAGGTTGAGTGTACGGCGCTATACCAAGTGTTTGGAAGTCGTCGATCTCTGAAGCAAAAAATTGGTGAATTTCTAGAAGCGTTTGTCAACAGAATCTGAAGAGGAAGAAATATGTTTGGGAGTAAACAGCTCTAGTCACGCTCTTTTGCTTTTACAGATTGTTGTTCGGTAAAGGCCGATAAAAGACAAGGCTATCTTTGGGTCGTTGTTGTGATCTTCCAACAGTTGACTTCAAAGCAACATAGCAAGATGCTTCAGAACACCAATTAACGCTCAGATGTCAGCTGTTGGAAGACCGAGAATGTGACTGGACAATTATAACTTCTGGAGCGCAATGGCATACTCAATCAACTCGGATTTGATATTGAATAAGAAAAAGAACATTGCATCGTGTTATTAAGAATCATGAGAATTACCAGAGGATGTAATCTCTCCAGTGATCCTGATTTGAAATACTCGCAATTTTCTTGTTCCCTGATTCAATTCCATCAGCATCATTCCGCTTTCAGTTCTGAAGACTGATATATGTTCTTCTAAAAAGGACTTCGACACATTTCCAAAATAACCACCTCGCACTGTTCCACGACCACATTCTTTCTTCGTTGGAGCTACAATCCACTGCAATTAGTTCCTTAGATGATCTTAACTGCCTTGATTCATGGTCAATTACTGCTTGAAATATCTGGAAAGAATTATAATACGTCTGTTTTGTGACTCAAGTACTGAATGTTAATTACTATTTATCATTGTTATAATATCCGACATCAAACGTCATAACTCTCACTAGGTCTGTTGAACAGCACATCCATTAATGTCAAGCTAAATGCGTCACTCTGGTCAGGTAAAAGATTACTTTTTATTGGCGATTTAGCG